GGGGGGGGGGGGGGGGGGGGGGGCGATTTAAATGCCTGCCAGTGCAGCTCATCTCACATTATAGATTCAGCTCTTCAGGAACGACTTTAAATAATACAAAACAGTCAGGAAACCGCCAAGTACTAAGAAGTACTTTCCCAAATCAATTCACTCATATCTTTTTATTTCTGTTTCCGCAATTTTCATGAACTATTCTTATAGGTGCAATAACTTTTAAGTGTGTAGACCTATTAAACAAAAACAACAATTTGTACAAACACACAATTCTACCCTTTTTCTATAGTGGTTTTAATGTAATATTTACAAGTATTACTATTTATAGAAAATTATCTGTTTCAGAGTGTAATTTCAGTATTTTTAGTATAATTGTATTATTAATTACTGGAGACTTGCATTTCAGAATAATTAAGAATGCAATTTAAAATCAACATATTATATTGCATTATAATCAGGTAAAGATTAATTTATTCAATCTATGCGATAGTTAATTGCGACATATTTTCTATTGTGAGTGTGAACTTAACAGAGGGCATACTGTAGTAAAATAGTGAACTCTGTAAACAGACAGACAGAGAGAGAGAAGAGAAGCATTGCAAATCCCATGGCAACAGCAACCAAAAACATGTCTAAAATAGGGGGCAGTGTTCGCTATTACTATAGCAACAGGAAGATGTAGCTGCTTCAATCAGCTTTTGGTTTTACGAGGAGGGAAAAAAAATTGTTTGATTCTCCGCACGGCAGTTACTAAGGGGTGTCACTGTTGTAATTATGAGAAGCACATGGCTTTAACCTTTTTGCGTTTTGTCTATTTATTGCTGGTAATAATCCACAAAGTACTTTGACTCCTGCTAATAACTTGAGTAAACATTGTAATCTTACCCCGGGTAAGATTCAGAATGTGGCAAAGAAAGATGTTGTTCCCCTGGGGGGGGGGGGGGAATCCTATTGACTGAACCCCCCCCCCCCCCCCCCCCCCCATATACACACACACCACCCTCCCCACACCCTCCACCCCCCAGTCCAGCCACGTGAAATAAAATAGCAACAAGAATGAAGTACACACAACAAGTGTGATCTTATACAATTGCCTGTGTGTACTCTTTGTTTACTTTGCTTGGTATAATGTTATTTTATGTAAGTTTATAAAATAGTAACTGGGCTATTAGTGAAGTTCCGGCAGCCTGAGGCCTTGACAACAAAGGGGCATCCCATCAGCGGGGAACACTGCATTACAACCTGTGTCTCAGTATAGGGTTGCAGTGGCCCTGAGTCAGAATCAGGACCAGGTTTATTGTAGGAGTGTGTTCACACACACAGGGAATTTGTCTCCGGCTGTCTGTGACTGTCAAGCATACAGTAGATACATAGATAACGTTCACATTCACTTCAGTTGTTAATATAGATTGTGGATGATAAATGTAGAAGAAGTCATGTAAGGGCTTGTCAGTTCAAGTCGGTGCGAGGTTAAAAAAGATGGATGGATGGATGGATGGATGGATGGCATAATAAACCTAGTCATCTAGGGGAGATGAGAGTGGAGTTACTCAGTTTGACTGGTTTTTGGTGGGATGACGCAGCCAAAAGCCACAGCGAGCCCACAGCGAACCCTGTTTGATGGGTAGAGGCACGAGGTCACAGCCTTAATGAGGTTCTTGGTTAAAAGGTAACTTTTGATTAATTACCGGATCGACTTTGTGTTTAAAGTCCAAGAAACAAAGTGTCTGTTAGCTGTGCTTGTGACCCACTTCTGCATTCAGAAGTTTTCAAGCATTCAGTACTTTGCATTAATTGGAAAATATACGTGACACTGATGACACTCTCCAAGCTGGGCTGATGTTTTACTCCATGTTGTTTGCAAAGCTGTGCTGTTTACGATCTCGTCATGGAGGGCAGAACTTCAGGAGCACCACCAAGAACGCAGCCCTGAACAGTCATAAAAATTACCTAATTAATGCGATTACATAATTTAATGCAAACCGATACAACTTTCTTAGTTAAAACTTGAAAACTTATATATATATATACACACACACACACACACACACATACATATATGCACATATATTTCTTAAATATATCTGAGTTCAGACAACTGAATATGACTTCATGCCCCCTTTGTTCAGATGTGTTCTGCGGTCTATGTTCCCAGTGCAATTCCTAATAAACATACACAGACATATTACTGTTCACACCTAGTGATGGACCAGCACCACTTAAGACTGTGTTGGCCCTGCTCATGCCATGTGTTTGCCAGGATTAGCTTGGAATCATTGAAATCCTAATTGGATAAACCTGAAGATTGCATGAGTGGGTCAACAGATGTTCCTGCATGTTATTGTTCTAAGTACTAGGAAAACCTAGTCCAAGGTTTGATTGAAAATCTCAACTATGTATTATAAACT